TATACATATACTTTTTCATCAAATACTAATATGCATCTTAAGTAGTTACTTTCTTTCATCTAATTAAACTGACTTTTTCTATATATGATTCCATTCACTAGATCTACTTTCAGTTAACTACCCAGTATATATTTTGTTACAAAGTAGAAACGTTTTATAATGTCAGCATTAAGAATTACGAGTAGGTACATATCTGCCAATCTCACTTCATGTTTAGTACTCTTTCACAATTTAATTTAAAATTAATGTATAACCTGTCAAAATTATTTTCAGTTTCAATTTTAGTTATTAAGGTAAAAAATAAATAAAAGACAACTGCTGAGTATTTAAGTACTAGGTATCTTGTGTTCAGCTGATTCTGAACGTTTCATGTACTATTGATGGAATTTCTTCAATTTTGTTTGTTTGGTAGTAAACAAAGTGGAATGTACATTGCTTATATGAAGGGTCTATTTATACTCTCTTATTATTAATATTTGCATTAGTATTATGATTAAGGATTAGGTTGAACCTTCACAATGTAATGAGGACATTTAAACTCGATTTATATTATTATTATTAGCATTAATATGTATGCTTAATAATTGACAGGTTTAACATTTATGTTAAAGCCAAGTTCAATTTCGTTTGACATATAATCACGATTTTTTTTAGGTTGAAAATTGTATTATCAATTTTTTCATTCGAAGTAATACAAGACGTCACTTTCAATGTCTATCTTTTTATGTCAACAAATATGTAACACGATGAATTTATAAAACGTATGTCACTAATAAATATGTGGCGGCAACTGACGGCAACACTGTCAGCTACTTCACGGCTACTAGAGTACATACAGGTCCCGTATTAGCCATATATAAATGGAAAATAATAATTTGATTGAGTTAAATAAAATATCAAAATTAAATGTTTATTTTTAAGTAAACGACATTTTTAAATGTATACGTCTTCAATCAAAAATAATATAGGTTAATACTCAAGTGTATACGAGTGTACTGGACAAGACATAATTTTACCCTTTACTCCAGTGTTTTGTAATGAAACCAGCGGTAAAATAGATATTTGTGTACCAAGGCTGTGTTTTGGCCGAATTAGACATATGCGTTCGAGTCTAAGCTAGTTCTGGTCAGGGTTACCAACCGTCCGTCATTATGACGGACAGTCCAGCATTTAAATAGTGTGTCCGTCAGTCCGTCAAAGCATAGTTAATGACCGTCCAGGTCGCCCAGAATATTTGCTCTGCTGTATGATGTGCTGTGCTGTGAACGGTGTGTTCGTGTTTATTATTGACTTTTAAAATGGGTGATTCCCAAAACAGTGCCGACAGTGGCAGCAGTGATACATATAAAAAGAAAACCCCGACAAAAAAGCTAAACGACTTTTTTATTTTAATTTTTTTTTAGTTCAGTTTATTTTTGTTTTTTTCTGTTTGAAACTTGTGACAGGTATTATTTTTTAATATCTTAAATAAAAACTTTCCGATTACCTATTTATTTGTAAAGACAGCTCAGACTATCTTCACCATAATTAAGTTCACCTTTTGATCAAAAGAATAAAAATGGACTGAGTTGTTTTTACTTCCCTTTATTTCCCCTAAAATCCCCTGTCTGTCCGTCATATCTGTTTCAAAAACCTGGTAACCCTGGTTCTGATTGAGTATAAGAGTAATAGGCAAGAAACGGGTGTTCAATCAAACTTGACATCGAGATAGATGTCACATAAGCAGGTGTACTGAAGATGAACTTTGCAGGACCACACATCAGATAGGTATAACACTTGATATTCTGAAAACTATGCATACTACACTGAATAAGAACGAATGGAAGTGTCAGAAGGAGGCTAAAGGCAAAAAATAGACGGAACAGAACCGAATAGATAGATAAGTAATATTTTAGCCAGGAGAGAGTCGATGAGTGTTATAAATATAGTTAATTTATGAATGTATTTTTAATGTATAATTTCAGTTTATTTTCATTTTTGGTATAAAACTATGGCTGACATAATAAAACTCTTAAAAGTATATATATTTTCAATCTTTATTACTATACATTATTTAGTTCTCTCTGACGTAGGGAAAAGGTTAGAAAACCCTGGTCATAATTGTTTACAATGTTGGTGTTCCTAATGATACAAAACATTACAGAGGAATGATACTTAGCCGATTAAATCTCATGGAGTTCACGCATGACGTATTGTGGTATAGAATATGGCTATCTCTGATGCATCTGCAGATTTAAATTTATTTTTGCGTACTGTTTTCTATCAACAGATACCCCAAATTTATACAAGCCACGTCTTCGCACCACAATGTGACATAGCATCAAATCTGCTTAATCTCCTACCAAGTATCAAGGATATTCTTGGTGTAGCTGATCATCATGTTTCGAGTCATTGAACCTAAAAAATAACAAATATCAATAAATAGAATTCGGAATTTATTCCAAAAATATTTTTCTTTGGGAATTATATAGGATTTCTCGTTAGTATACTGACAAACTTTTAAAGGTGGTATAAAACAGTCTTTGTATTTGTTGTGTATTTAATAAAGGGCACCTTTTATTTGACTATAAACTATCTTTATTAGAACACTTGAACAAACAGTTTTTAAAATAAATAAGCAAGAACAGACGCTCCTGTGCCGCCAAAACTACATGACATGGTTGTTGACTTATGTCAATTATGTCATCAGTCATTGCATGTTTACAACTTAGACTTAGACTACTAACTAGACTTACAATCATAACAGTATTGTTCTATACTTTTTAGATAATTAGAGAGAACAGTAGGACATACAGTAGGACATACAACAAATATATATATATATATATATATATATATATATATATATATATATATACATATATACAGTATGTCGCTAATGTATGGAATAAATTCATTATAATGGAAGTAGTTGGTTTTTCGAAAAAATGCTCGGACAGGTCAATTTTGTTTACTCAAAGCGCAATTTTTTAAATAGAATTCAATTTTCCCCCACCTCCCATTTTTGGGCAGTGACGTCATTGACAATTTTTTTAAATAGTAACCCCAATTTTTTTTTCTTGATTTTAATAGATCTTGCAATTTTCTACTAGAAAACATAATATTTGAAATATCTGACATAATAATTTTTTTTGAATAAAAGTCATTTAAAGATCAGGTACATAAATTTTATTTTATTTTGAAACACAATAAATAAATAAAAGATTATTTGTAATTAAGTGATTCATCTAAAATAATAATAATAAAAATAATAATAATAAAAAGAATTTAATGACAATTTCACAAATTCTTTTTTATTATTATTAATATTATTATTATTTTGTTTAATTAAGCACTTAATAACAAATAATTATCTTTTATTCATTTATTGTGTTCTCAAAATAAAATAAAATTTATGTGTCTGATCTTTAAATTACTTTTATTCAAAAAAAATTGTTATGTAAGATATTTCAAATATTATGTTTCCGAGTAGGAAATTGCAAGATCTAACAAAATCAAGAAAAAAAAATTGGGGGTACTATTTAAAAAAATTGTCAATGACGTCACTGCCCAAAAATGGGAGGTGGGGGAAAATTGAATTCTATTTAAAAAATTGCGCTTTGAGTAAACAAAATTGACCTGTCCGAGCATTTTTTCGAAAAACCAACTACTTCCATTATAATGAATTTATTCCATACATTAGCGACATACTGTATATATAGAATAATGAATTAATGAATCTCACATCAAATGGATTTCTTACTAGGTATTAACTTAAATACTAATTAAAATGTATATTGTAACTGTGCTCAAATAAATGAATGTTTTTATACCTGACTATAGCACGAGAAAGACTTTTTTAGATCATAATAATCTGGATAACTCAAAATAGTCAAAATCCACATTATTTAAGTTTTTCTAGCATTGTTTTAGCATAGCGATTTAAAAACTCTAATAATAAACATTCAATGTTTTTTGGGACGCTTATTAGTAAATAAAAAATACATGAATAATGTGGTATTCTTGTTTATATAGTTTATTAACACATAATATAGTTCATTAGTGATTTAGAAGCAAATTACGTTCTATTTATAGAATAAAAATCATTCATAATATCCAAATATTTATACCTATATCTTTATATTTCTGACATGAAGACTATTTTATGTTTTTGGCTCTAAATAGTTTTCTTAACAATTTTAAAACCTCTTTGCTTTTTGGGATACTCCATATTATCATCAGCATATCTTTGAGGTTAATTTTGTTTAAACCAAAAATTAATTTAGTTGATAATATGAAAATTTAAAAAATACACAAAATTAGTCGAATAAATTAGTTTAAAAAAAAAATCAACAAAATAGTGGCTTTGTCTTTTCCCTTAATTAAATATTCTTTTTGAAAAAAACTTAAGATTCTCTGCTTTCCTTACTGTTTTAGTATTTTAGTAGCAGATGAATATGGTCTCGTCGAAATTTACTGAAATTGCATTTTTCTTTAATATTTTCCTCCCCTGAGGTTTAAAATAAAAATCTTCATTGGCATAAAAAGTTATTCAAGTGGTCAGTGTTGAATTCCTAAATTTTGGAACTATTTATTTTTTTATCATATCAAGAAAAGGAAACCTACAATAAAAGAAAGATATAACGTATCGCGCCCTGCATAATAATAGTGCAACTGTTACAAATAATATACATATTAACTATAAAACTCCAGTTGCACGAACTGAACTATTTCCTAGTATATTTTACAGAAAGTTGTTCTATAAAAGGGCAGGTAATCGTGGATTTATTACCACATTTTGTAAGAAGCAACTTCCTATCTATTGTTAATGCATTTTTTTCGAAACCCTACAGATTCAGTAACGATTAAAATTGCACTAAATATCTGTTTTCTCTCGTATCTCCACCCAAACACACGTTACCATCGAAGCGAAAACAACCGCGTCAAGCTTACAAAGTGGGGCAACCATCACCGAAAACCTATAAAACCCGATATGCAGAGTTTTTGTCTTCAGTCAATTACTCGCAATAATATTTTTACCAGGGGTCGGTACCCTCCTTGAATCTTAGGTCTCACTTATTACATAATTTAATTTTCAAAATGAACAAATTTTTAGTGATCGCTCTCTTTTTGGCTGTCGCCTTTGCCGAGGAGAAGGAAGAAAGTAAAGAAGATGGACCGAAGACTTACAGGAGGTTGATACCTGCTGATGTTCTTAGAGGTAAGTGTTAACATTTTTGTTAATTTATCAGGGCTTTCCTAAAAATGCAAATAATGTATCGTCAAAAATTTTGAAATTTACAGATGTGATTTTTTAAATTAATTATCATAAAAGGAGAGAAAGAAAAAGGGTATCAATGTAATACCTATCAAATATAGATATTTTTTTTAATAATGCAGGAAAATTCTAAATTTTTTAAACCACAAAATTTTCAAATTCACTTATTTTTTTGGTTTATTTAAAAGGCACTTTAAGTGTTACCTCTATGATATTACATTTTTAACAGTTATTTCTTTTATTGCTTTATAATATGTCTTACAGATTTTCAACAATTATAACATTGTGTCAAATTAATTGGTCACTTGCGACATATTTTAATTAAACTTGTTTAATCGATGTTTACCTACTGTTCATAACTAATTATTAATTAAATATAAATTTTATTATTAAAAATAATAATATAATCAACAATCAATAAAAATTAAAAGTTAATGCAGGTTTAACAAGTTATAAAAGCAATTCTAAAAATTGTCCCAAAATAAATATAAATTTGATGATATTCTCATGGATTCCATCATCAATTTTTGACTAAACTTATATTGGACCACCCCTGAGGTACACCTTTTTTACCAAAAAAATAATCGCTTAAATCGGACAATGTAGTAAAATTATCACAAAAAACGAACAAAAAGTTCGAGAGACGCTAAAATGGTGGTTCCCACCTTATGGAGACTGAGGCTCACAAGGGTATACTCGTAGCGTAACAAAAACGAGAAATGATTTAACTTGGAAAGAAAGACCGAAAGCCGATAGTAGATTAGGACGTTGAATTTTTTGGTTTGTAAAGATTGGCATTACATAGGTTAAACCATGTGATGATTTTCACAAGCCTTGATTTTTAAAACCATTCTATATCGCCTTTTTATTATGGTTTAAAACCTTGTTCGAGCAATTTATCCAACAATAATTGGCCCCTTTAATGTAAAATATTTGAGCTCCTTACTTCGCCTATTTATAGTCTTAATAAAGGAAAGAAGGATGATTATTGCAACTGTGGTAAAAGTTCCCAAAATACAATTTTTTTTAAAGGTTTGCAAAAATTTAATGGACTGCCTACAGAAATTAAAAAAAAACAACAATAAATGTATTCCAAAGTAACCTCAAACAATACTTTATAAATAAACAACGGATATACTTTCTTGTGATAATACTCTTTAAACCTGCCCTTTTTAAGTAGTTCCCTTAATTTATTGTTATTTTAACCCTTGTTTTATCGGCATTTATTATGAATTATTTCTGTTTTGAGATCAAGTACTTTATTTTAAAAAATTACTTGATGTTATATTAATACTATTTACTATGTTTAAATTATTAATAGTTTTGCGACGATAGGTTATAGCAACTTATAGCCACAAAACTATTTTTGTGTTAAAGCAGATCCATAGAGAGGTAATGTAATATACAAAGGCCTTCTTTCAACATACTAATAAATAAATGACTTTATAATTAAAATGAAAAACACAACAAAATACATCGGTATCATAATTGACCAAAATTTGAAATGGGTTGATCACATTTTTAAATTTTATGAATTGAGGAAATTTATGACTAGAAGTTTACTAATTATTATTTACAATTCGATGGTTGAATCTATTTGGGAAATGGTATAATGTGGATTATATGATATTGCACTTCAACCCCTTAATGTAATCCAAAATCATATAATTAAAATTATCTACAAAAAACCAGCATTATATCCTACCTCTTTTAATAAAAAACTGCTTTGTATAAGAACATTATATTATCTGTCTTGCTGTACCTTTATTTATGGAAAGCCTGAATTGAGATACACTACAAATTATTTGCAATAAATATCAAAAGAAGCATACATTTTTAAATAATTTGACATTTAAGAGCCATTCACACATCACAGTTGACAGGCACAGCCAAGCATTATTCTGATTTTTGCCAAATAAAATGGCTGGTTAATTATTCTATGGGGTTGCGACAGAGAACTAGTAAATTTGATGAAGGTGGTTTTGTGGCTAGGGGCGAAATAGTAGTACGCTTAAGTTAGCACCACCATAAAAAAGTCATTTTTAAGAAATGGCTTATATATTTTTCATAAATTGGCAGGCTTGGAGACTAAATTCGAATAAAAATAGCCTAAAATGGCTATAGTTGCAAGTATGAAGATCGCAACCCGCCTTAGAAATCTCACCTTTACTATCAACAGCTGTTGTTTTACATGTCGTTAAAGAATGTTTGCAATTTATGGAATGTTAAGAATGTTAGACGTTAGAAATGATTGTAATTCCTAAAATTGTCACATAAGAAATGCATAGGCGGATTTTAAGAAAATTGATATTAGTTAGGATGAACCGAAAATTCTGAAAATCAACAGGGTTCTAAGTTAGGTTAGGTAAGTAATTATTCAAGAAAATCAAAACCGCAAGTCAATCAGAACTTTTGTTCTAGAGTTATCGTGCCGGCATACATACACACAGACGACCAGACGAAAAATTTTTCCCATAGGAAGGGCCTCAGTAATATTTCTACTAATTAAAAACCTCTTACTTATTTTAAAGTCGGTTAAAAATAATAAAAATTTTCAAATACTTTATTGTCATGATCATTTCGCCATTGAAAAGTTACTAAGTTTTACTGTACCTAGCCTTCATTAAATCAGTCTATAATGAATCCTTAAACTAGTTGATCACGTTGTTCTGAGGTGTCTCTAAAGTCTCTTCAATTTACCTACGGTACCTATTTGAAAGTATCATCAAGGGTAGCCTCATCAACCTTCTTACTGCTCTAAATATCAGTCAAAATAAGAAAAGCATCGTTAATCGATGTCTCTCTAGGCCAATTTTGTTCTTGGAGCTAAATAATACTTTCATTCCTTTCAATCTTAGTAATAATGTAACAACTTAACCTACCAAAAACATGCCAGAAAGATCTTAAAATGACCATTGCTAAAATTAATCATGAATTGCTCTAAACAGAGCATTGAAAGTTTAACATAGCCTACCTGGAGATACGTTGTCTTTCCACAGCCTTAGGTAAATCGTTTACGTAAATTAGGAATAATATTGGGCCCAGTATCGAGCCTTGTGGCACCCCGTTTCGAACTTCTTGTAGAAAAAGGAGAAAACCGCAGTACATGTTTTACTTCGAAGGTTTCTCAAGACAAATCTCTTGAGAAAGAAGAACCAGAAGCAGATAAGTACGCAGGAAAGTTATTTTCTAGACTAAGGAGTTTGATAGAAAAATCTTAAAATAGACAAAGTATTCTAACAAAATATGGAAGGACAGTCATTGTAAAATTGAAGTGGCTTTTGGTCCATCATAGTCCTAATTGCAAACTAATATAATGTACAGTATATTTTGAAAAGGTAGCATTTTTTAAGGTAGTAGTATTTTCAAGAAATATAAGTTAAAACAGTCAGTAAGAATAACAGGAATTATATTTTTTTGTGGAGAGAAATAATTAATATGATTTTCAATATTCGTGTGTGTGATTAAATATGGTTGAAATAAACTGTTGAGAAGAGGATACAAACCAAATTTTAAATTAATATACTTAGAGGCCACCTAAAAAAAGACAATTTAAACAAAACTAAACTAACCATTGTTCAGTATTTGGATAGAAAGTAATAGAGAAGAAATAAAAAAGAAAAGTAAAGTAGTTTTTTGGTCACAACCCACACATACTTAATGACAAAGAAAAAAACGTGAGTTATATAAATTGCATTGCGATTTTGTCCCACCTCGTACGTTAACATTTTGAAATAAAATGTCGAGTGTCCTACATTACATTGTAAGTGAAGGTGATGTCATTCTGTACCTATCACTTTACGTAATGAATAAATGCGAAGGATGCAAAGAAAACAGTTTTAACTCGAATTTTGCACTAAAGAAGACATTTACTTGGTGAACTTAAGTGATAGACTAGACAGGCTAATAAAAGAAATTCAAGAGATTAGTTCCGCATGTGTTAAAACGTAATAGATGATCTTAAAGTTCAATTAAAATAATTTTCTGGATTAACAAAATAACCTACAGAATCATACATGAATGACAAATTTCAAAATATTACTGAGAATTTAGATGTTCTAAGTATCCTGAAATGATTTTGCTAAGAAGACAATAATTTTCTTATTAGAACACTCAAATTAAAGAATAGGTATTGTCTATGTATACAAATAAAAAAATCATTCTTTCTCCTCCTTAGTTTTGCAACAGAAATGTATGTTTAATCTTATAGAAATATTTAAATGAGATGTATTTCATAAGTATTCAGAGATATTAAAGGACAAATATTTAATGATATATAGTAAATGCCAGATATTCAATGACATATATTCAATGACATATATTCAATGACACATAATCGATGACATATATTCAATGACATATATTCAATGACATATATTCAATGACATATATTCAATGACATATATTCAATGACATATATTCAATGACATATCGAAACCCTGTTTCAATGGTGCCATAACCTTATAAATGGTAATTTTACAGAAGAAGCCAAACAAAAACGATTGTGGATGTAATATTTTTTAAGCAGCATTTTTAGTACTTATGCTTACCAAATTTGGTATACATATTGATTGAAGATGTCTCTACTAATTAGTGATACCATTACATGTAATGTGAAATCTACACAGATAAGCCTAAAACAAAAACATGTTATTGATATGGCAGTACTGTTGATAGCGCCTCGCGCAGAATTTATTAGAACTATTGATATGGCACTTTTATATATTGTAGGTATGTTCATAATGTATACGTTGGGCAAAAAAAGTGAATTTATTATTTTTTAGGGATATGGCACTATTGAAAAAGGGGTGCGATATATTCAATGACATATATTTAATTGCACATATTCAATTATATCAGGACAATTGAATATTTATTCTTCTTTAAACTGACAGAAGGTAACAGTTTAACATTTTAATATCTGCAGTAAATCTATAGATATT